CCTGTTATCCCTTGTGGTTTTGTCAATCCCCCTCTGCATATATATACAATGGTAGAGGGGCGCTCACCGATCGTTTCTACGAAAATCACTTGTCCCGTTTTGCCTTAGTGCTCTCTCTCGAGTCCAACCAGCAGCCGCACAGCGGCGCATGCTATAGGCAGAATGGTGTTACCCACAAAGACAAGGGAGAGTGGAATGGCCATTTCTGGCTTATTAGCCGCCGTGCGGCTGCTGGTTGATCTCGAGAGAGAGAGCCCTAAGACACAACGGGACGAGTGAGTTCCGTAGAAACGACCGGTGGGCGCCCCTCTACCATTGTATATTCCCGATCGCAACCGACAGGACAACGGGCCCGTGGCTCAGTGGTTAGAGGTGTTGGACTTCTAACTAACAGGTCGTGAGTTCGATCGTCGGGCGTTCCACACTTCGGGGTTGGGTATGACTGGCTGACGACGGCTAATAAGCCAGAAATAACCATTCCAATCTTCCTTGTCTTTGTCGGTAATACCATTCTGTCTATACATTTATACATAATGAGACGCTGTGTGGCTGCTGGTTGGGGTCGAGAGAGAGAGAAAGCCCTGAGGCACAAAAGGACGAATAACTTCCGTAGAGACGATCGGCAGGCGCCCTCTCTATCATTGTACATATATATTCTTTCGGGGGCAGTTTGTCAGAGTAATGAACAATAGAGAATCAGCAGATGAATTTCCCCATCATTTCCGGTGGCTGTCACTATGACGACGAATGAAGATCGGACCCCAGTGCCTATGGACGCGAGTGGACGGCATAATCCCTGATTGCTTGATAATCTGAATGTCTTTGATTGTCTGAAATGGTTAGTGTATTAACAGAAGATGGTTTTAAGATGTGTACAGAAGTAGTTTATTTACTATTGTGGATAGATTGAGATGCTGTTGTGCTCATGGTTTTTGAATTGTCAACATATTTGGGGATTTTCGGCTTACCTTTTGGGTGCAGGTTGTCAACTTCATGGTCTGAGTGGATACCGATACTCATTACCTGTCGGCAAATAATTATTCCATACGCAAACCTGTTTTTTAAGGGCGTGATCGCGAACTCCCGCACACGGACGATACTGTTATGGCTCTTGGTATCTGTGACTCCCTTCAGCGATGCAAGGCTTTGAACGAATCAGATTTGGCCAAAACGTAAGTGTGTACTCTAGGCGTAAATCGTTATGTCCGCTTGACCTAGATTCGCTCACGACTTCTTCAAGGCGCCTCCGCAAAGACTATATGGTGCGAGCATCAAGGGCCTCTTCATGACGATGGAGAAGGCTAATTACGAGCGACCTGTTGAGATTGCTGCTGCGCAATTCAATGGGACGGGTTCTTTCGGCAATGGTGGTGGGATGCGCGTTGGCCCGGCTGCCCTTTTTGGTCTGAGACTCCCTGTTCATGATTTTAATGTAAGTACAGTCCAGTCTCCTTTGATTCTTATGATGATTGACCTGCCAGTCCCTAGCTTCCGTCCTAGAGGCCTTTAACAAGTTTGTGCAAATGACTCTTTTTCGTCCCCGTCTGGAAGAGATTTTTTCAGTATGAACTTGCGCCGTTGTTGTTGTTGTTACTGCTGTTGTTACTGTTATACTTTTACGTTTCTCAAGCTCCTGCGAGCTTCTCATAGGATATTTTTTGGTTTTCGGGGTTAGTTTTAAATGCCAAAGCCATTTTGAACCCCACTGTAGTCATACCCCTTCCCGATCTGCTGTTCAAGCTATCAAACCGCCAATTCAGGAGAACTTAGTGGAGGGCTCTAGTGACTAAGGTTATATATGAAATCCATATTTGACAGTGCCTCCATTTTGCATACTAAAGCCCCCGACCGGCAGTGTTGTCATGGCCATACTGCTTTGCAGGCAACTAGTTTTGCTGGCCACCTCAGCGTCCGTAAGCGCCGAAATTAACTGGCTCTAGTCGGCTGAAATGACCTCAGGCTGTTTCCTTGTCAGGGATTATGGAAGATAGTAAAACGAAATACGCATTTGGCTGCCTCAAGCTATTCGCCTCAGTAGTCAGGTTTTAAGCCACACCAGCTTTTGGGTAACATAACACTGACGCGTTTAATTCTAACTAGGTGAAGTTGTTTCTTCCCTCACAACCAGTTTTCTAGGCTTGCATATAGATAAAAATATGGGTCCTGGAGCTATTTTATTTAATACTCATGCTAAGGTTTAGCAGGGGGTAACAAGGATTATGAATAATATAGTAATCGTCATCTGACTCGGGATTTCCATTTCTTCATTAAATACTATAGCGTAGATTAGACCCCGTCTTATGGTATGCCGTAGACTCAATGAAGTTTAGAGCCACTGACACATCTCTGTTTTACTAACTACCCACCACTGGTTTTTATTCCCGATGACAGCAATTGATCCTCGGAGTGACAGCTGTAACACACGGCCATCCCTGTGCACTCTACGGGGCTCTCCTGCAGGCACATGCCATTCGTCGCGTTTTCGAAATTGCCATGACCTCAGACGAACCCCAAATCGACGTCTATCGTCTAGTCGGCCAACTGCAGGCCGATCTGGAGGCTGCAGACATTGTGGAATATAGCGCTGGAAAGGCCACTGCTGCGACACGCATAGCTGAGGCC